CACAAGTAGTTAGTAAGTCTGTGACATTGTGATGCACACAAAATTGTCCATTCAACGAACAACGTACATGTTAGTTTGACCAATCGGTACTTCCGTTAGGTTTGACCTGGAGATGTGGGAAAGAATCACTGAGCCATGTTATTTAAACATGTAGCAAAAAAAGTAAAGATGCCCAGAGATTATCAGACACACAGAAAGTAGCTGAGTCATGATACATGATGGGACAACTTCAGTGTAACCGAGGGACCACCCTCATCTGGACTCTTTTCCTTATCTTTCTGGCCTGTCTATAAAGTCCCAGGGGACTTTAAGCCACTATTTCTCTGACCCTTCAGAGTGTTTTCAGGATTCCTTCTTCAGTGGTGTAAATTCTATTTTTTCTCTTTATATTTCCATGGCTTCAGTTACTACCTTTTTCAGGTCAGATCTCCTTTCTATGCATCTGGATTTGCATGTAGACCTGGATATAGAAACCTGAAATATTAAAAATGAACTATTATATTTTCTCCTAAATCTGTTTACATCCCTAAATCTCTGTTTACTCACCCTGTTAAGCCAAAAGTGTTGCAGTCATCTCTTCTCTTGGCACAATTTTATTAGTAACATCCTTTGCTTCCATCCCCGTCACTGCAACCAGTTCCTTGTCAATGATTTTTAACTCCCCTGCCTAATTAAGCTTATCTGAAAAAACAAGGAAGCAGTTCATCAATTTAACTGTGTCCTCTTTAATTCCACAACCATATTGCTAAAGAAAATGACAGGATGCAGAGGGTAACTCAAAGATGAGAGGGCACATTTCCCCACAGATAACAACAACATTGTGGCACTTTGAGGGCTCTGGCTGTTTAGTCATGGTGCTTAACAGAGATCTTCAGCAGCATGTCTGATGGAAGAATAAAACTTGTTGATGTACTTGGTGAGGCACCAGCATCTGTGATAGGTGGGGATCAACAGCATCCAGCAGGAGACCTTGGTGCCTCTTGAAGTGGCAAGACGGGGAACTGAACTGCCCAGAGATAATGGGAAAATGGCAGCACCCTATCATGAACACCTGTGAGAGAAACCCTGGATTTTAGAGATGGTTGAGGTGGTGTGGATGGGACAGGGATGCAGTTCTCAAGGAGCTGAAGTCCTGAATTTCCAAGTGGGAGCAGGAGCCTGGGGACAGGAGACATGGGGGCTGAATGGGGCCTTTGGGTAAGACAGATCCTTCCGTCCTCTCCCTCCCTCCCTCTGTCCCTCCTGTGGGGCGGCAAGAACTACTGTTGGGATTTACTAATTGCTTACGCCTGGGATGGTCTGAAGCTCAGTGTTCATGTACAGTCTTCGTACCCATGTAAGATAACCTTTCAGCGGTAGCCGTTTCATCGGTATAAATATAAAAGCTGGAAAGTGTTAAAAATATATAAAAAAAAATCACAGAGATTGTTTTTTTCTTTGCAAATACTATTTGAAAATAGTGAAATAGTTTTCCTTCTCGAATCTTCTTAATAGTCTGTTACCCAAAGATGCTTGTTTTGGCAACATGTTTAAGTACCCCAAAGGAAAAAAATTTGTATGAGAAGGAAATGTGGTGTGGTTTGTTTGGTGAGTATATCGCTGAGAGTAAGTGGATTAACTGACAGATGTCTTAAAGTGCATTAGGTGATTATCTATGGGGATGTCCTGATTGATTATAGGTAGAGGTTGACCTAAATGTAGGATGGTGTTAAAGTTTTATGTTTCATTCTGATTGATGTACAGGAGAAGGAATCATCCAAAATGGGCTTAAAATTGATGAAGTGGAACGTTACAGGTGGAAGGCTAGGCAATAGAAGTGAGAGAGTGCCTACGTCTATGACCTTCTATTTTCTCTGTGTAAGATGATAAGAAGGCTGATCTGGCTTAAGGGAAGCGGGAAGATGGCATCTATCTTTTTGTCACTGAGATTATGATATCAAAGTGAACATTTATAATATCCAAAATGATGTTGACGGTTTCTGTAGAAATTGTAATTTTACAGTTTCTGTTAGAAATATCAATCCACGCATCTGTCATTTTCTTTAGCATTGATGGTTG